GCCCTCCTCGGCCTCCCACAGTGCTAGGATTATAGGCGTGAGCCACCATGCCTGGTCTTAAGATACTATTAATAGAAAAAGAAGAGCAAAGAAGATTTTTCTGCCCCTTTGATTATTGGCCTCAGGCAGGAATGCAGGTTTTAATTCCCAAAAAGGGTGGAGATTTTAATGAGACAACTGGTAAAACATTTTGCCCTTTTTCAGATCTTACCTCTGTTACAGCTGGGCATCCTCTAATTCAATTCTGACACTGTCTACCTGGACACCTGTGGCAAGTCCAGGCCTCTGGAACTTCTGACCAACCAGCTTCAAGTTGGAGTTCCAACAATTCCCTTTTAGGGTTCAATTAATTTGCTGAAGCTGCTCACAGAACTCAGGGAAACATGGTTATCAGTTTATTATAAAGGATTTTACAAAGGTTACAAAAGAAGAAATGCATAGGGCAAGGTATGGGGGAAGGGGCGCACATGGGGCTTCCATGCCCCCCCTAAGTGCACCGCCCTCCAGCTGAACCTTCACATGTTCAGCTATCCAGAAGCTCCCTGAACCCAGTCCTCTTGGGTTTTTGATGGAGGCGTCATTACAGAGGCATGTTTAATTAAACCATTGGCCATTGGTGATCAACTTGACCTTCAGCTCCTCTCCCCTCCCCAAAGTTGGGCCTTCTCATCATGCATTGGTCTTTCCTGTGATCAGTCCCACCCTGAAGCTATCAGTCTACATTAGCATACAAAATATAGCACTTTGGACATTCAAAGGATTTTAGAAGTTTCACACCAGGAAACAGGAAGAAGACAATATCACAGTGGTGCCCCACTCTGATTACTGGTCCTTCCCTCCACCCCATAGATTTTAAGTCCACCAGGGCAGTGACCACTGTTTTCCCAACTCCCAGCTCATTAACCACTTTTTGGTCAAAGTAATAAATGAGTGAAAGCTCTTTATAAATTCTGAGTTTCCTTGCCAAGGGCCCTCCCTCCCCCGTCCCATGGAGAAATTCCCTCTTTTGAAAGCAAGCGAGATGGCTGTGCTCAGTGGCAGTATCCTAGCCAGTGGGCTTTACCCCAGGTGCAATGATTGCTCATGGAAAGAAAGGGAGACAGAGAAAAGCACTGTGCTAGGAAAGGCTACACGAGGCCTCCCTGGGCGCATTGGCCTGTGTTTCCCAGGGGGCTCTACCCTAAAAACAGAAACAACATTCAAATACATTCAAATATAACGACTGGGGGTGGCAGAGGGAAGGAAACTCATGAGCCCTGAGGCCCAGCCCAGCAGTGTCAGGGAAGTGCAGCCCAAACTATAACAAGAGGAACTAAAAGAGGTCCCACTTCACTGCGTTTCTCAAAGGATATAAAGGAGATTTTAATACAAACCCTGTAACAACACTTCCCCCATCCCCTTCGTCCCACCCAGCCTTAGCTCTCTCAAGTTCCACATTCTCCACAGTCAGAGAAAAACAACATTCTCCTCCACTCCTAACTTGACTGTCTCTCCCCCCGCTCCACCCCCTCCACCCCACCCGCCTTTCTTTTTTAATTGTGGTAAAATATACAAATATGCATAGCATAATATTTGCCAACCTAACCATTTTAAGTGCAGAATTCAGTAACATTAGGTACACTTACGTTGTTGCATAACCATCACTGCCGTCCGTCTCCAGAACTTTTTTTTTTTTTAAATGAACACAAGTTGTTTCCACTTTTTTGTTATTGTGAATAATGCTGCCATGAACATGGACACACAAATGTCTGTTCCAGTCCCTGTTTTCAATTCTCTTGGATGTTTACACAACTAGTAGTGGAATTGCTGGGTCTTCAGGGAATCTTGATGTCCAATCTTTTGAGGAATTGTTTTGCACAAACTGTTTGCCATGGGCTTTTACTGTTTGCAATGACAGCACCATTTTACATTCTCAGCAGCAGAGCACTAGGGTTCCAAATTCTCCATATCTTCTCTAGCACTTGCTATTTTCTGTTTTTTCATAATACCCATCCTAGGAGGTGTGAAGTGTGGTTTGGATTTGCTCCAGGCTACTTTGCACTGAGTGGTCCAGGACCCTCTTTGTGATGCACCATTAACTTGACTTTGACTCTTCACCCCCACAAGCAGCTGCCTTGCTCTCGTCTCCAATTCAACAATCCAACTGGCTCAGCCAAGTCTATGATTGATTCTCTTCGGGTCTGGCGTCTCCCTCTGGTCCTACCAGCTCCGGCCAGAGGGATGGAAGGAGGTGGTCTGTGGGGCTTCCCTTTACAGGAATGGCATGAGTTGCTTTCTAGATAGGGTTATTGGGGGTGAGCAAGAGCAGACTTTGACAGTGTAGACCTGTGTAGACCCGCAGTCAAAATGTCAGGCAGGGTGCATGTCTTCTGTGTTTGGTCACGAGAAACCAGCCTTCAGAAATGTCACACCAAGAGAGGAGCCAGCTCCTATAAATAATCTCAAATTGATCAAGCTCCGAGGCCCTAGATTAGCTATCTGAATGTTCTTGTTTTCCTTTTCTACAGTGTTTCTTTACTCGTTTAGAGTGAGAAGTAGATGGCCCAGGAGGACAGCACCTGCACAGGCAGACCCGTGCGGGCTCTTCCTGCAGCCACGCCCCACAGGAAGCCCAGGTGTGATCAGACTGTGTGGTGAGGGTGGTTCAGAGCCAGGGGACCCAGGAGGGGACTGCCCATCCCAGAGACCAGGAGCCAGGTCATCCTCACCCCTGCAGGGCCAGGGCAGCCCTGTCACAGCTGGCTTTTTGTGTTTCCTTTATTTGTGCTCTTGGATGGCAGCTCTGAACAGTCTGCGATACTAATCCACCTTTGAGGATCTGATGGAAGCCACCAGACCCACTGCCTAGAAACACCCCACATAGTGCTCACTTCGGCAGCACATACACTAAAATTGGAACGATACAGAGATTAGCATGGCCCCTGTGCAAGGAAGACATGCAAATTTGTGAAGCATTCCATATTTAAAAATTGTTAAATAATTTATAAAAGAAAGAAAAGGGACCAGGCATGGTGGCTCATGCCTGTAGTCCCAGCTACTCGGGAGGCTGAGGCAGCAGGATTGCTTGAGCCCAGGAGTTTGAGGTTGTTGTGAGCTAGGCTGACGCCACGGCACTCTAGCCTGGGCAACAGAGTGAGACTCTGTCTCAAAAAATAAAAAGAAAGAAAGAAAGGAAGGAAGGAAGGAAGGAAGGAAGGAAGGAAGGAAGGAAGGAAGGAAGGAAGGAAGGAAGGAAAGAGAGAGAGAGAAAGAAAGAGAAAGAAAGAAAGAAAGAAAGAAAGAAAGAAAGAAAGAAAGAAAGAAAGAAAGAAAGAAAGAAAGAAAGAAAGAAAGAAAGAAAAAGAAAAACCCCACATACACCCTAGTTCAGCATAATGGCTTTGAGACAGAGCTCTGTGTCCTCCAACTCCGTTTCCCTTTCCCCACAGGCATGCAGAAACATGCATTTCCCAGCCTTCCCAGGGCTTAACTCAGGCCATTGTGATTGAACTGAGGGGGCAGAAATGATGGACACTACTCGCAGGCCTGGTCCCTAAGACCTCCCTCACCATCTTCCATTCTCTCCCTGTCCCCTGCAGGCCAGATGCAGAGGACCCAGAGGAGGACTCCCAGCCCTCCAAGCAAGCAGAAGGAGGAGCCTGAGCTCCCAAATGACTGTGTGGACCAGGCTCTCCCCACCCAAAGCCAACCTGCCCGGCACTGTGGCCTGAATATGAGAGAAACCTGTACCTGTGAAGCCATGGAGACCGGAGGGTTGGACAACCCTAACCAGCGCTCCCCAGAGGTGGCCATCCACAAATTCTCACTCTCCTGCTCAGCCTGTCCTGGTTGTATCCAAACCAGACACCACTCAGCTTACTTATGTAACAGTCACTAAATTACAAGCAAGTTCCAGTCCCACCTGTACAAGTCATGGGGTCTCCAACTTTCATTAATGCATTTTCACACACTCTTGGTGGACACCCATGATGGCAGCTGTGTTTGTTGTACTGATGAGTGCTTGAGACCAACAGAAGCTACATGAATCCTTGCATAACCTTGAGTGTCTCTCTTAACTATCTCGTGTCCAACTCTCTTCATCTCGGGACTCATTCCTGCCCTGCCCACCCCATGAGCACCGGAGTAGAGAGGCTGTGAGCCTCACTAGGGAGAGGTAATCAGGAAAATCCCCCAGTAATCAGGAAAATCCATCACGATCGTTGGCATGGCGGCAATGAGCTAATGCTCTGCTCCCTCTACCTGGGGCAACCTCTGTCCCCCGTCAGCCTATGAGCTTGTCCTCCGGTGTGCCCTGCCCAGTGGCGTCTGGACTGAGAGCCTTTGCAACTGCAGAGGACAGTTTCTTTCTGCTGCCCATAAGCTGTGCCCCAGCCCTGCCCTGGAGGGATCCCCAGGGGACATAGGCAGTACCCACAGGATGGGCTGTCTGAAAGACACTCTGGGCCCACAGAAATCTCAGCCTCCACATCCTTGTCTCAGACTCTTGGGGCCTTTTGTTCACTCTTTCCTTCATATGAATGCTCTTCTGACTAATGCCAATCATGTGTCCATAGAACCAAAGGATTTTTCTAGGGAAAAAGGTAAAAATGAGGTGAGAGTTAGCTGGCCCAGGAGGGTCCTGGGTTTGCCCTTCCGGCACTTGCTCTAGGTCAAGAGCCAGGCGGGAAGCTCTTAACAGCATTGCCTAAGAGTAGAGGAGCCCGGAGGACTGCGTGTGGGAGAGGGTCACCCACCTCAGCTCCCTTCCCACAGCCCGGACAGATGGGGACCAGGTATTGATGCCTTAAAGCCCCCTGGGTGGAGGAAGCTGTAGGAGTTAGGACAGGGGGCAAGGGAAGTAGGAATGGCCATCAGCCAGGACAGGGGCAGGGCGGGCAGGAGTGTCCCTGCTGGGAAGAGGCAGGATCAAAGCCCCTGGAGGGCTCTCCACAGCAAAGGCAAACACAGAGTCCCTGCTGCTCCCCCAGAGCTCTGCCCCCGGGCCCCGCCCCCAGCTATAAAGGCCCCTGCCCCAAGCTGGCGCTCAGGCTTCCCAGGCTTCCGAGGTGTCATGGCCAAGTCACACCTGCTGCTGCGGCTGCTGCTGCCCACATTCTGTAGCCTGGGCACTGGTGAGTCCCCTGGCCTCCCTGTCACAGGCAGTCCCACCACTTACGGAGCACCCGCTCTGTGCCAGGCGTTACCCCAAGTCCATACATGATCCTCATCTTAAAGACATGGCAGTGGGGCTCAGAGAGGCTCCAGGGCTTGTCCACGGTTATGTAGCCGGTGGGTACTGGAAGCAGGGGAACACAGAGCTGCCTGCCTCCAGCGTGTCTAGTGGCCGTGCACTCACAGGAAAATTGGGTTTAGAGGTTGGGAGGAGTCAGAATGCCTGGTGTGTAGCCTGGATCCTGATTAAGGTTGCTCTGGCCCCAAACTGCAGCTGTCTGGGCTGCCCCATCCCTGGCTTGTGCCCAGGGCCCTGAGTTTTGGTGCCAAAGTGTGGAGCAAGCGTTGCAGTGCAGAGCCCTGGGGCACTGCCTGCAGGAGGTCTGGGGACACGTGGGAGCCGTGAGTACCACCAAGGATGAACGGCAACTGGGGGCCTGGGATGGAGGGTGCTGGGTGGGCTCTGGATGAGCCGGAGGGGATTGGAGCCCCCATGGAGGGTGGGATGGGGTGAGATGAAACGGGATAGGGTGGGTGGGATGGGGTAGTGTCCTGGCAGCCCCTGCCTGAGAGAGACTGCCCACTGGAGCTGAGAGCAAGCCCCCTACTTATGTGACCCCCACCTTGGGGCCCCTCCCCAGGATGACCTGTGCCAAGAGTGCGCGGACATCGTCCACATCCTCACTAAGATGACCAAGGAGGCCATTTTCCAGGTGATGAGGCCCAGATGCTGGGTGAAGCTTGGGGCCTAAGAGATGAGGGACAGAGCAGGGAAGGGGTGAGCCCCTGCTGGGGCCTCTTGCAGGCTGAGGGTGAGGCCTAGCTTTGCTGGGGACTTCAGGCTCCTCCAGGGCCTGCACTCAGCAGCACAGCCAGAGACAGTCTTTCCTGGGGGTGGGGGGGGGGCTACATGTGCCCAGCTATTTAACTCCTTGGCACTCTGAATGCCGGTGCCCTGTGAGAGGGGCCAGTCTGCCCTGGGGGCGGCCGTGTCCAGGGACTCTGGAGGGGAAGATCACAGAGAGGCCAGGCTGACGGCCCTGTCTTTGTCCTCCCAGAACAAGACTCGGAAGTTTCTGGAACAGGAATGTGACGTCCTCCCCTTGAAGCTGCTGGTGCCCCAGTGCCGCCATGTGCTCGATGTCTACTTCCCTCTGATCATAGACTACTTCCAGAGTCAGATCGTGAGCCACAAGCTTGCCCCTGTCTGACCCCCCCACGCGGGGCCCACACCCATGGCACCCAGAGTGACCCCCACATGGCACTCAGCCCTCCACACACACACACACAGAGCACCCAGCCCTACACACACACACACAGAGCACCCAGCCCTACACATACACACACACACACAGCACCCCAACTGGCCACACATATACACACCCTGCCCACAATGGGCCCAGGAAACTAAGCACCCTTCAGCCAGGCACCAGGATCAGGGCCGCACCTGCTCAGGTACACACGGTGGGCCTGCACACTCAGGCACACACACATGCTTACATGCTTATTCATTCTCACAAACATATATGTTCATGTTGATTCACACATTTTCCCAGCCCCTGCCCCCTAGTCCCCACACAACCCCATTTCTGCCTTTTGTCCCTGCCATGGAGCCCTAAACCACAGCACCCCCACCTGCTCTTCGTCCCCCATTCCAGTGGCCCTGAGCCCTTGGGCCAGCCTGAGCAGGGGTGGGGCTCCTTCCCCAACCCTAACACCCGCATCCTGCACTGTGCTCTAGAACCCAAAGGCCATCTGTGAGCACCTGAGCCTGTGCACGCCCAGGCAGCCAGAGCCGAAACAGGAGCCTGGTACACCGAAGCAGGAGCTGGGGATGCCAGGTCCTCTGCTGAGCCAGCTGGTCCTCCCCGTGCTGCCTGGGGCCGTCCGGGCGAGGCCTGGGCCTCACACACAGGTGAGGGAGGCGCCCACAGCCAGGTAGTGGGATCCCAACCAGGCCCTGGGAAGGGCCTAAGGCAGGAGGGATAGAAAGGGGGGGCCAGGGGAGGCAGAACCTGGAGGATGCTTCTCCCAGCACCCAGCCCGGCCTCCACCCCACTCTCCCCCCAGGATCTCTCCGAGCAGCAGTTCCCCATCCCTCTCCCCTTCTGCTGGCTCTGCAAGACTCTGATCAAGCGGGTCCAAGCCGTGATTCCCAAGGTGAGGCGTCCAGGACCACGTGGAGCTGGGAGGATCCCCGGCAGCTCCAGTCCCCCCAGCTCACCCTCCTGTCGGGTCCAGCTGCCTGCCAGGAGATGAGAGGGGAGCCGCTGTGCATCACCCCCGCAAGGGACCCCGAGGCCCAGGCTCAGGCCTGCTGGTGCCAGGCAGAGAGTTCATTCAACAAATGTTAAGCCCTTGCTATCTGGCAGGCACTGTGCCAGGTACACTGTGCCACCCATTTTGCCAAAGTACAAAAATGCGTGACAGCCAGCCTTGTCCTCCAGCAGCTCACCATCTGAGGAAGAAGAAACCGCAGCTGTCTCTGTAGGAAATATGCTTTAATTTTTCAAAAGGAAAATTTCCACAGACAGACTCCCCATCCCTGCCTGTGTCGAACTTGGCGTCTTCCAGACCTGTGGTGGCCATCACCTGATGCCCCACCAGCCCAGGGCCACCCTGCCCCAAACGGGGCCCAAATGAGGAGAAGCCCCGCCCCCAGCCCTTCCTAGATGGAATCCTGCAGGCCACGGGGCACCCAGGGCTCACAGGGCCACCAAGGCCCCTCTCTGCCCCAGGCCTGCACGTGGTTGGGAGTCTCCAGGTGGCTGTGAGCACAGAGCAGAGGATTCACGCAGGATGAGGGCACGGCCAGGTGGAGAGGTATTAGGCCGTTGGGTCAGGGAGAGTCTCTGAGGAGGTGACAATCAAGCTGAGACTAAGAGAACAAGGCCCTGATGGCCACAACCTCCATCCAGAGTAATCCAAGGTCCATCTGGCGGTCTCAGTCTGAGAGTCACTGGCTTGTGGGCCAGAGAGAGTGGGCAGGGTGGAAAGGAGTCCACAAAGGGACACTCCACCAAGGAGCCTGGGGAGGAGCAGTCAGCGGGTGGGAACCACGGAAACCAAGGGAAGACAGGGAAGAGAGCATTTCGGGGAGGAGGGCTTTCTCCTGGCCCAGAGATCAAGCAAGGTAAGACATGATGCATGGGTTTGGCGAGAGAGAGGTAGTGGTGACCTTCACAGCGGTTTTGGAGGAGTGGTCGGGGCAGAAGTCACAGTGGAGATTGGGAAGGGGGAGTAGAGCAGCAAATACTGACAACATGTCAAGAAGTTTCTCGGGGAAGGTGAGCAGAGGGGGTGGGGCGTGGCAGTGAGGGCAGGAGAGAGAGGGCAGTGCAGGGGCGAAGCGCTAGTGAGGTGGGCAGGCCGAGCGTATAATCGGTGCAGTGCACCCACTGGGCGTATCACACAGGACAAGGATACTCTGGCCCTGCTCTTACCTCCTCCTCCCAGCACTGGGGACAGCTGGGGCTGCAGGAGAAGCAGAGTGGCCTGGCGCATGTGCGAAGGGGTGATGGGGTGAAGGAAAGAGCTGTGAGCTTGCTACCTCTCTCCCTGCCTTTCAGCTCAGAGGTTGTGTTTGGATACAGGGTGTGCTGAGGAAACTGCTGGCTTCCCAAGGAACCTGGGACGGGTGAGGTGGCTCACACCTATAATCCTAGCAGTCTGGGAGGCTGAGGCAGGAGGATCACTTGAGGTCAGGAGTTCGAGACCATCCTAAGCAAGAGTGAGACCCCCGTCTTTACTAAAAACAGAAAAAGTTAGCCAAGCAACTAAAAAGAGAAATAAACAAACACAAAATGAACCAGGTATGGTGGAGAGTGCCTGTAGTTCCAACTACTCGAGAGGCTGAAGCAGGAGGATTACTTGAGCCCAGGAGTTTGAGGTTGCTGTAAGCTAGGCTGACTCCACAGCACTCTAGCTCTGGCAACAGAGTGAGAATGCCTCAAAAAAAATAAATAAGGCCGGGCGCGGTGGCTCACGCCTGTAATCCTAGCTCTCTGGGAGGCCGAGGCGGGCGGATTGCTCGAGGTCAGGAGTTTGAAACCAGCCTGAGCAAGAGCGAAACCCCATCTCTACTATAAATAGAAATTAATTGGCCAACTAATATATATACAAAAAATTAGCCGGGCATGGTGGCGAATGCCTGTAGTCCCAGCTACTTGGGAGGCTGAGGCAGAAGGATTGCTTGAGCCAGGAGTTTGAGGTTGCTGTGAGCTAGGCTGACGCCACGGCACTCGCTCTAGCCTGGGCGACAAAGTGAGACTCTGTCTCAAAATAAATAAATAAATAAATAAAATAAAACCAGGCACACGTTGGCTGCGGGAGTCAGATAGGAGCTGACCCACCTGTGGGAAAGTAGCGCAAGCCCTGGGTCAAGAGGGAGAAGATACAGCTTCTGGTCCTAGCTCTGGCCAGGCCGCCGTGTGGCCTAGGTGAGGCCCACCTTTCTGGGCTAGCCATGCTCCCAGCCACTCTGCAGCCTTTGCAGACCTAGGTCCATGGCCGGCTCCTGCACTCAGTGACTCCGGGTGCGTCCCCCGAGTCCCCTGGACTCTCTGATCCTCAGTGTCCTAGTCCATAAACGGCCTTACTCTCCCCGCTAGAAGGGAATGAGGGAATGTGCACGGCTTTGCCAAGGGAAGGTCCCATGCTGCCCCCTCTCTGCCTCTGCCCCAGGGTGTGCTGGCCGTGGCTGTGGCCCAGGTATGCCACGTGGTACCCCTGGTGGTGGGCGGCATCTGCCAGTGCCTGGCCGAGCGCTACACTGTCATCCTCCTGGACGCGCTGCTGGGCCGTGTGGTGCCCCAGCTGGTCTGTGGCCTCGTCCTCCGGTGCTCCAGCGAGGACGGCACTGGTCCAGGTAAGCCTGCTGCCCCTACCTCAGCCCACTGCCCACTCTCCTCCTCCCCCAGCCCTGGCCCTGCACAACAGGAACCAAACACGTCTGCAGGGCAGCCCTGACTGTTTTCTCTCTAGCCCTCACCGCTCTGGGGTCCCTGCCAGGAGAATGGCTGCCGCAAGACTCCGAGTGCCGCCTCTGCATGTCTGTGGCCACCCAGGCCAGGAACAGCAGCGAACAGGCCATGCCACAGGCAATGCGCCAGGCCTGCCTCGGCTCCTGGCTGGACAGGCAAAAGGTGCGGAGCGGGAACAGAGGGACTCTCGGTCTACTCATGGTGGAAGGCTGAGCCCAGGAGAGGCTTTGCAGCCAGAGACACAGGGTGGGCCGGACTGGAGCCCAGAAGGGAAAAAGCACATGGCTCAAGACAACAGCGGGACAATAACTTAAGGCAAGACGTGCTAAGGGTGAGGGGTCACCTCTGGAGCTGTGGGTTCCAGAGGACCAGCAGGTCCCCCTCAAGGGCTGAATAAGCCCCTGCCGAGTCCCACAGGCTGGGTATGACCAGGAGGTGGGTAATGCCAGGGCTGCCTGGAGCTGAAGCAGGGCCTGGACTCCCCGGGGTCTCGGTCCTGTCTCTGCCCCCACCCTCCTCAAGGTGTGACTCACTGGGGACAAACCCACCTGCAAAAGGACAGGGTCTGAAGGTCCCAGAACCCCTGCCAATACTCAGAGCCAGTGACAGGAAATCCTCTTCCTAAAGCAAGATGGTGTGCTGAGGCCAGCCTGTGACACTGTCCCAGGAGGCAGCTTTCGGCACCATCCTCCCTGCTCACATCAGAGCTCAAGGGCCAGATGAACTTTAAGATTCCTTCTAGAGCTGAAATTTCAGGGGAGAGGAGGTGGTGGCTAGGGTTCTACCCCTCTGACTGAGTTGAAGACCCTCCATCTCCAGTGTCGCTGGCTTTTCTGTGGGAAGCCTTCCACACCAGCTGGCTCCAGCCTGTTAAAGGTTTTACTTGCAGCCAGAGGGGCTGATGGCATGACCTAGACATGGAGTTGGGAGGGAGCGCTGAGTGATCCAGAAAGGTGGGGAGGCCAGGACTGTGAGGCAGGACTGCTGTAACCAGCCTGGTCCACCCCAAGCTGTGTCTGTCTTTCCTCAGTGCGAGCAATTTGTGGAGCAGCACACTCCCCAGCTGCTGGCCCTGGTGCCCAGGGGACAGGACGCCCACGCCACCTGCCAGGTACACCCTACCCTCCCAGCTGGTCCTGGGACTCCCCTCAGCTCCCAGAGCCCCCACCCTCTCTGTGCCATGATCTGGGGAGGCCTGGCCGCCCTGGGTCAGGGCAGCTCCAGGCTTGAGGCCCAGACGGGAAGGGCCCTCACTGTTTCTGTGTGCAAAAGGCAGTCTGAGGGGCTAAGGAGAAGTCATGACAGAAAGGAAGAGGAGAAGGATGGGAAGGAAGGGACAGTCTAAGGTGTGTGGTTTGATGCCCACTATGGGATGGGGCTGTGTTCACAGCCAGTGTGTGCGTGGCGGTGGGGTTACAGAGTGTTCTGGGGCAAACATCCCACCTCCTCAGGCTCCAAACCTCCAGGGCCTGGGGCCTCAGGGGTCTATGAGGTCACACCAAGAGCGCCCACTAGGCAGCAGGTGGGGGTGAGAGCTGCCCCTTCCCGAGGAGCCCCCAGGTCCCCCTCAGAGCTGGGAATGGGGAGCTGGGGGTGACTCTGGCCCTAATGCTGTCCCTGCGCAGGCCCTAGGGGTGTGTGTAACCATGTCCAGCCCTCTCCAGTGTCTCTTCAGCCCCCACTTCTAAGAACTCAGCCGTCCAGGTGAGTCCAGACACCCAACTGGGGGAAAGGGGGCAAGTCTTGACCCATCAGGGCGGGAGGCCTTCTGTTCCTCAGGCAGGAAGAAGTGGCCACTCCTGGTGGCTGTTCCATCCTCCCTCTCATGCACAGCTTTCTGAGTGCCTGTGGCAGCACCATCAGGAAAGCACCTTTTCTGGGGCCCTGAGCACTCCCCTCTCCTCAGGATCCCTGTCACCCTGAGTGCCAGGCCAGAGTCCCAGCTCCCCGCACCCTGTCCCAGCCCTCGGCCTCCCAGCTTACCCTCGGGACTCCCTGACAGTCAGGATTTGACATGTTCTGACCAAAGCCAACCGTTGCTAGAGCTCAGGGGAGATCACACTTTGCTGCCCAAAGCGTCTCCTCCTCAGATGTCAGGATCTCCACCGTCAGCAGACTCCAGCCCCCTGAGACATGTCTCTCTCCTTGACTGTCATTTTCTAAGTCAGAAGTGGCACCTCAGGATGGAGGGGTGGGTCAGATGCAGCCTCTGATCAGGTGCCTGGGGGCCGGGAAATGTCCCTGAGAGGGAAGGACACAGCAACAGTGGGCTTGAGGTGACCTTAAGAGCAAACTTGGTTCACTGTTACAATTCAGCTCAGGGCCAGCCCCTAACATGATGGTCATGTATTCATTTGTTCACTTGTTTTATAAAATTTAGTGCCTGTGGCCAGGCCACATCCTAGGGGCAAGGGCTATAGCTGGAGCTCACACCCAGGTCCCCCTCTTCCATCTGAGGGGCAGGGAGACCAGCCCTGCTCCTGAGACCCTGAGTCACAAGCCCCTGTGGAGGACAGGGGGGAGAGGCTATATACCCCCACTCAGACCTGTCCCATGGGGGCCAGTTTAATGTGTCCCTCCCCCACCAATGACAGATGGGGACACCCAGGACCAGGCCAGTCACTTTTCCCCAGCTCCCAAGGATCCCAGCCATCCCTGTTGAAACAGAAAGACCATTGGGTTGGCATAGGAGGCCTGGGCTCCGGTCCCAACTCTGCCACCAACTCGCCATGGGTCCTCAGGCAAAATATACGCACAGCCCCTCTATGGCCCTCTTTTTCCTCAGCTGCAAAGGAGGAGCCAAGTGTGATGGGCTCTGGGACCTCTTGACCCCCACCAGCTGCCCACAGTGAAAAGAAGCCGTATGACCCACACTCGCCCTCCCATCCCTTTCCTCAAGATCACCTTTCCTGGTGGACCACGAGCCCCTGGGTGTGCCTTCAGCCCCATGTCGGCCTTGTCTGCCCCAGCTCCAGCCACAGCCTGATGCCAGAGCCACTTCCGTGGCTGCAAGGACAGCATCCTCTGGAGCCACAGAGGGCCAGCCTCCACACCCACTGCAGCTGCACCCAGATCCCACGGCCTCCGGCAGCTCCCAGAGGACAACGGGGCAGAAGCTGGCCCTGCCTCACACCAACCCTCATGTGCTCAACGATTGGCTTTTACAGTTCTTTGCTAATACTTTTGTGAAATCAAAAATTGATAAGAATAAAAAATGGGAACATAAAGTACTACAAAAGATAGACATATAAAATCCTTAAATTAAGTTTTTAAAAAAAAACAGGAAAACTGTGGCGCAGCCAAGGGTGGACAATGTGTGCTGCAGCATTGTGGGAAGGGGTTGAACAAATGTTCATATTTGGAATGTTCTGCTGCCTGAGCGCTGTCACTTTAATATATAAAGAGGGGGTTTCGTTTTTATCTTTTCAGAAGCTGAATTTCTAACTTTCGTTTGCAATCCCAAGGGTGACTGTATTTCTGCTGTGACTTACGTGCTGAAGCTCAGCTGGAGCTGTGCATGCTAAGGTTCCGTTCCTATGTAATGCAGTGCCTGTAATGATGCTAATAAAGCCCTGTTCTCTCACACAAAAAAGAAAAAGACACCATCCTTTAAAGGTCCTGCAGGAGCTGTAGCCTCACCCTGAAGTCAGTGGGGCAGGGGCCTACCTCACGCTCTCCCTTAACAAACAAGGACATGTCCACATGGCCTCTCCCCTCACCGCTGCTTCCAGCCTAACCTCCCACCCGCTACCCTCCCCCTGGAAAAGAATCCAGTCACTGTGGTCAGGTAAGATCATTAGGGTACCAAATAAACAACACACAAAAACTTAGCATTAAAGACCTAAATGCCTGGAATATCCCTTTATTTATAGAACTTTTGTCATTATATTTCTCATTATAAAAAATACATGTTTATTGTAGAAAATTCAGGAATGACAGACCAAAAAAAGAAGTGGGAATCACCTACAATTCCACAATCCCAGGAGGGAACTACAGCAGGATGTGTATTGTGACACTGAACTCAGGACTTTTAGAGTCCTTTTCCCCACCCTCTAGCGCCACACAGCCACCACTGAGGCACCAGGAAAAGCTTTCTGTGCAACTGGTTCTCGAGGCAGGGATAAGATGCACAAGTGCTTAGCCCTTAATGTGAAATTTTAAGGAGACTTTTATAAATCTATAGACTATTTTCTTAAAAACCATTGTTTCAATTACAACACCCAGCTCTTCAAGAGAAAAGCTGGGTTTTGTAATTAAATTTTAAAAAATAAAAGCTTGACTGGGAAGATGAAGAGCCAAAGCTTGAAGGAGGGGAGGCATTAATAGTTTATCCCAAGGCCGAGCGTGGTGGCTCACGAACCTATAATCCTAGTACTCTGGGAGGCTGAGGAGGGTGGATTGCTCAAGGTCAGGAGTTCAAAGCCAGCCTGAGAAAGAGCAAGACCCCATCTCCCAATCTCTATATAATAGAAAGAAATTAAACTGCCAACAATATATATTATATATTATCACACACACACACACACACACATATATATATACACATACATATATATATTAACCGAGCATGGTGGTGCATGCCTGTAGTCCCAGCTACTCGGGAGGCTGAGGCAGGAGGATCACTTAAGCCCAGGAGTTTGAGGTTGCTGTGAGCTAAGCAGACACATGGCACTCTAGCCCAGGCAACAAAAATGTAAGACTCTGTCTCAAATTAAAAAAAAAAATAGTTTATCCCAAAACAAGAGTGGGAATGAGTGCCTGATGATGAAGACGAGGCTTCACTCAGTAGATCAAGAGTTGACCAGTTGGCAGGAGGAGAGAACTGGCAGGAAGTAGCTACACTTGAGACTTGGAAGGTACCTGAGAAGTGTCCAGCATCATGTGCACCAGCCCCACCGAAGAAGGTGCGGGAAGAGAAGCCCCAGAAGGGATTACAGCCCAAGAGGAGGGGACTTGTTCTTCACTTTCCAAGAGCACGGGCCTCCAAGGGAAGCCTGGCTCCACCACATCAGAAAGGGTGAGGAGAACGGCCTTTGGGAGGGGCCCGCACAAAGCCTAAGGACTGACTCATAGACAGTGGCCCCCGCCTGCTGTGGCTACAGAAGATCAGCCACACCCACGGCCCAAGAGGCAGTCAGAATTGGCTATGGACAAGATGGTGGGCCCACAAAAGCTTGTGGTTAGGGACAAAGCAGTGACAGATTTTGTGAATCTTGAGATGAGCAGAAATCAGACAGGTATAGAATGCTGACACAAGAAGATAGCCAGCAGGCAAGAAATGGAGGACCAGAGAGTTCGGTCCTCGACACCTCTCCTCACGACAGGCAATCTGTAGGTCATTTCCAGGGAAAATGAAAGGAAGATTCAGTGGTTAGTCACCCGAGAAAGGCTGAGTATTAAGAATGCACTGAGCGGCCAGCCGTGGTGGCTCACGCCTGATCCTAACACTCTGGGAGGCCGAGGCGGGCAGATTGCTCAAGGTCAGGAGTTCGAAACCAGCCTGAGCAAGAGCGAGACCCCGTCTCTACTATAAACAGAAAGATATTAACTGGCCAACTTATACAGAAAAAATTAGCCAGGCATGGTGGCTCATGCCTGTAGTCCCAGCTACTCGGGAGGCTGAGGCAGGAGGATCACTTGAGCCCAGGAGATTGAGGTTGCTGTGAGCTAGGCTGATGCCACGGCACTCTAGCCAGGGCAACAAAGCGAGACTGCAGGGCTCGTAAGTGCTCCAGCACCTGGCTCCTGCACCACACAGCAGCAGCCGCACCCAGAAGCTTTACGCCGCACTTTGTCCTCCCCGGACAGTTCTATAGCAGAGTGCCACCGGTAAGACACCTCCCATGAACAGCTTTCCCCCACGCACTACAAAGTAGATTTTTAAAGAGATCCAGAGGACAGATTTTCAGCAAGGTGTGAATCTCAGCCTTGGACACTCTATGTGGCCCTAGAGGTAGTGGCTGTTCCTTATATGTTATTTCCTAAATTTTTTATGGCTCTCTTTACTTATTACTAGCCAATCTCGTTATTACAAACCTCTGCTGTAGTTAATAGTTATTGAAATTAAACTTTCCTTGATCAGATTATTATATCATTTCTCTCTCTTGACTGGACTCAGACTGATTGGAGCTGGACTAAGCCAGCACAAGCTTAGGCTAGACGGTGGCAGAGAATGAAAATAGTGAGGAAGTTGTTCAAGAGATCCTTACAAAGTAAAATTGAAAGGGCTTGGTAATAGAGTAGACAAGGGAAGGCGGGGGAATAGGGGGAGAAAGGATGACTTCTGCATGAATTTCAAGCTTCTATAACTGGACAGATGGTGGAATCTTCACCTAGAAAACACTGGAAAAGGACTAAGTTTGAGAGGGAAGCTCACGAGCTCAGTTTTAAACAGTGTTGAGTTTGAGCTGACTATAAGACACCTAAAAATATATCAAGTAGGCAGCGGGTTCTAAAGTTCAACAGTTTAGAGAAGTCTGGAATTAAGATCTATTTTAAGTCATCTCCTGAAAAGTGATAAGTGAAGCTGTAGAGTTGAACTTTACCTTTTTATAGTTGATGTATTTTTAACCTATTTAAAAAGAATGTTCTTTTATGAACATGGTTTAAATTGATCTATTCCAAACCCACTATCACTTGCCATTTTAGTCACAAGTATAGCTGTTTATTAAGTCAGCAACCCAACTATTATAAGAGGAGTCACTGGTTCAAAGACTTAGGCAGCCCTAGGTATGACTTCAAAAAAGTCTTATAATTTGCAAGTACAGCAGGTATCATTTTCTTTCAATTAATTTATTTCCTACTTTAGAGCATTTTCTCCTAAGATATTCTCTTTCAGTCAATACAATTGTTATTTGGACAAAACAATAAAAATAGTGATTGTAACATTAAAAAAAAAAGAAGTAGTGCACAACTCCTATGTCCCCGCGCAAGAGCTTGCTGTAGCTGGCTGCCTGCCTCCAGCTGGTGCGCCTTCAGACTCCCCACACCTCTGCGTCTGCCACAGTGCTCAGGCCAAGGCCACACTTCCTCCAGGCTGCCTGGAGTCAATGACTGAGCTTGATGGGGCCATTTGCTCTGGTGCTTCCCACTGGCCTGGCTGACACTTTCTCAGAACTGTACTGCAGGGAGTTTTTCCGGTTTCCTTTCTCCTCTCTTCCGGTACAGAGACCTACACTGTAGCCTGAAACTGCCCACCTCCAGCCTTCTAGTTAAGCACAATAATAATTCGTCACTTTTAGTCATATTATTTTGTTACTTAGAAACAAATGCAAGGCCGAGGTCGGGCGGATTGCTCAAGGTCAGAGTTCGAAACCAGCCTGAGCGAGACCCCGTCTCTACTATAAATGAAAGAAATTAATTGGCCAACTAAAATATAGAAAAAATTAGCGGCATGGTGGCACATGCCTGTAGTCCAGCTACTGGGGAGGCTGAGCAGGAGGATTGCTTGAGCCCAGGAGTTTGAGGTTGCTGTGAGGCTAGGCTGACGCCACGGCACTCACTCTAGCCTGCGCCAAAGCCAAGGACTCTTCTCAAAAAGAAAGAAAGAACATGGCATCTTAACTTGAACACACCCACAAGCTGACAGGAAGAAATAAACATGATGTCTACCAGATGACAGACTATAGGGTAAAGAGTTTGTGAAAATTAAAAAGTAAAATAAATCTCTCCCTTAGCGAACAGCCAAAGATAAGGAATATAAAACAAGTGTCCGGTTTTAAAAACAGGAAAATATTTAATACATTCCAAAAAGCACATCAAGAAATGAGGAGAACCATGGGAAAACCATCTAACTATAATAGACAGAAGGATGTTGCTAGCGTCGTGCTTATTCCTAGACTCCTGAGGCTTGATGTTTCAAATTATCTGTCCTTCAGCTACTCCCAGCTACCCAGAAGTTACATACATCTGGAAAAGAGTGCTGCTCTCCTGAAGCTAGAAGGGAGTGTGATGGGAAGGAGAAAAGCGCATCAATTACAATAAATTGATCAAAGAACAGCTGGGTGGCAGTGCAGAGCCATCCCACGAGGGTGGGCTCCTCTGACAACACTCTGGTAGCCATACACACTGGGCTGGCCCCAGAAAGCTGCCTGTCTACAGTCAGCTACAGCTTCAGTATGTTCTTTACCATTATCAGCCAAAGTCCCTAGATGCCTCTTTCTAAGGAGCAAATCCCTAGATGTCTCTTTCAAGCCCCCTGCTGGTTGGTTTCATCATTATCTCGCCTCTTCCATATCTGCAAGAAATGAAAACAGTTATTAAAGAGCTGGTCTAGGAGGCATTCAGTCAACAGGTATGTATTAAGTGCCTATTCTGTGGCAGGCAATGGACAAGCCATTACCCCTTATGTATCTGCTACATCCCATAAAAATGATTCATAACCTTTCAGAAAACTCCCTTTCCTTCAATTTTCATTTTCCCACTCATCCTCTTATTTCCCATTCCAAACTTCCTTTTTATAAAGGAACACATGGCCAAGTCTACAAGCATAGACAAAGCCAATGAGGAGAGAAAAGTTATCTCTAGGAGAGGTATTATTCTTCTCTTTTACAACACTATGGATTTTCTTAGTCTCAATCTTCCTTCTTTTGCCAGGTA